AGCTGAAGATGCAATGTCTGAGAGAAGATGTGGCCTATGTGTGTCTCAAGGGAATGACATTTCATCACCTCTGATATGCCAAGTAAATCTCCAGAAATTGTCCTGTAGTGATATTTTGCTGCTTGAATTCACTATTCCTACTGCTGGCTCTGTTGTCTTTGTTGATGCCTTCAGGGTCCAAGCCTCACCTATTGATGTTTTGTTGTTTTAAGCCTTGCTGTTCTGAACAATGTGTTTTGCCAGCCAGCTAATGTAATAGTGCTCCTTTGAAGGCATCAGATGCTGCAACTTGAGAGTCTAACTACTTCTCCACTTTACTGTGTAGAATGATCAAGTCTTCACCTTCGGCTGGCCTCCAGTAGCACAGCAACATTATGCCTCTAGGCATCGAAAAGGTAATGAATGCCCTTCGACCTCTTAATCCTTTTTCTTTCCCATCTCAGTTACCTGCACTGGACTACTAATATTTGAGTTCCACAGGTGATGTGGATACCAATAGAGGTAGCCATGACACTTCAATTATTAATGCCCCAGGATCTGATTTTCGGAAGCTCAGTGATCCTGCAGCTTTTGTTTACTTCGTTTAGAGTTGGGAATACTTTGTAATTCTAAAAATGAAGTCCACAGTTTCTCCTGGTGAAAACACAAAAAGAGAGGTGAGATGCTACTTTATGCAGCTTCCAGGTTAGACTTGCAAAAGTATCTGGTGATTTTGAAAGCTTATATTCTTAACACTTTCTAAAGGGCCTGCATTTTTCTGAATAATATACAGAAATTGGAAACATCCATAGGTTTGCATACCAAAATTAGGCATTTAAACATCTTTGAGATCTTTATGAACAATATTGTTTTCTTGTTTGGAAAAAACTGTGTTTTGGATTTTAGGGTAGTGGAACTGAAAAAAAGTTTACATGGTAAGTCCAAAATGAATTGTCTCTCTCCCACTTCATTCTTTCTTCCATCAGTAAGGAATGTATTGTCTTTCCACTGTTTTGTTTTATCTATCTGTTCAGGGCTTGCAGTTTTCTGTGTAGGTTAGAGGAGGTTCTGTACTTGATGAAAAGGTTGTATCTCCATGTAACAAACTTCAGAGAGAGGGGAAGATGATGAGAACAGAAAGGGCATTGAGGTAAATGTTGCCGTATCAACTTTGTGAACAGAAGAGAGAAGATGCAGGTTCACATCCTAGCAAATACAACAATTTAAGAAGAATGTTAGTTCATTAATGTTTAAGCATAGTTCTCAATAGTTTATGTGCAACACAATTCAGTTGTGTGGTCCTGGCTGCTTTCAGAGAGCTAGGTATTACTTGTCAGTGTCAAACCTTTTAGTCCTCATTGCATACCACAGCTCATTATGGGGGATCATAGCTTCAGGTGAAGTAACTTGATTCATTTATGCACAAGCTGGGCAAGAAACATATAAATATTTAAAACTGATGTATATTTCCTAGTGTAATATTGCATATAGAATTAGTTGTCTGGTTTGTCTGCCAGAGTTTCAAAGCTTGCAGTTTAATTGTCATGCTAGCTTAATCTGACGGCCTGTTTTTAATGGATTCATTCTTCTGTCCCTTCAGCTTCTCCTTAAGCTCTTCTGAGCTCCTTTGTGACCCAGATGAATCGAAACCTTGTCAGCTTAGCGCACTGACAAATGAAAATAGGTGACTAACGTTGATTGTCTTTTGATATTTCATACTCTGCTTGCCAAGAATGCCTCCAGTCCTGTGATCATTTTAAATCCTACACATTGTTTTTCACACAGACTGATTGCAGTCAGTTGATAAAGAATATCATCTTGAGCAGATGCTCACCGGTAGCCACCTCTTCTTATATTTACTTAGTATAACAAGAAACAATGAAGATCACTTAGTTATATGGTCCAATCTCCTCTGTCTCCTATGTCATTAAATTTCATAAACGTACAAGCACTGAGGGCAGTAACCTGCACTTGGCTAAAACCTGTCTTCCAGAAAGGCATCTTGTCCTGGTTGGAAGACATAAAAACATTAAAAAAATCTTGTTGCCCTCGTTAGCTTGTTCCAGTGACATACTGTCAATTTAAGAAGAAAAATAGAGTGCTTCATTTGAATTTATCTGACTTCAGCTTCTATCACAGCTTCTTGTTATGCCATTCTCCACTAGATTAAAGAGCTCTTCAGACTCCTGTATTTTTTCTCCACAGAGGTACTTATATGCTGTAATCAAGTCAATCTTTTTGATCTGATAAACAGATTGAGCTGTTTAAGTTTGACTTAACAGCATTTTTCTTCAATTCTCAGATCCCATTTTCAGCTCTTAATCTGCCTCCTCTGTAATTTTTCAGTAATTTTTTTTTCCAAAACATGGACAGGAACACAGCATACAAGATTGGTCTCATCAGTGATATATCCAGAGATAAAACTATCTCCCTATTTCCTACTCCCCTGATGCAGATTAATCCTTCGTTACACTGTCAGAGTGAGGATTTACGATGAGTTGGTGACTACAAGCCCTAAATCATTTTCAGCAAGTGCAGTCTCCCTTCAACTTACAGCACCTACAATCCTTCATGTTTATTATAGGGATTTACTAACTATAAGTGTACTTTATTGGATTAGGCCCAGTTTGCCATTTAATTCAGATTATTTCACCTGGCTACATAGTCCTTATTACCCTTACAATTTTTCTCATCTTTACACCATTTTCTGATGTGACCACCTTTTCACAGAAGCATTCCCATTTGATGAAGGTTCCTTACTGTCAGCTACTTTTTTTAATCAGTCATTTAGGCAAGTCTTAGTCAATTTAGCGTGTACTTTAATGATATCATAGGGTACTATATTTTCTTCCATACTGTCATAAAAGTCTAAAATCATCAATATGCACTCACCCAAATGAGCAATCTCATCAAAGAATAAATTTAGAAAAGTTTGATGAGACCTGGTCTTCATAAAAAAGACTGGATTTATTTCTGTTCCTTTCTTTGAGACCTTTTAAAATTAAATCTGTTATTCACATTACTATTAAGGGTTCTGATTTTGGCCTGTATTTTCTTGTCACTTGTCCTTTTCTGACTGCTGGTATAACATTAGCACCCCTTTGGAATTTCCCAAGTATTCCAAAGTCTGTTAAAACACCAGCAGGGGAGTAAAAATTATCCAAGTTTGGTGGTAAGGGAATGGTCATGGCTCCTATCTTTCTTAATTACGAGCAGGCTTGAGCAGTTCTTCATAGTCCCTAGGAGATCCATGTGCTTGTTTCTGTTGTAGTACCAAAGTATTTTCTAAACATACATTTGCTGCATCAGCAAAAAAAAAAATCACTTAGGAACTAAATTTACTGATAGGCCAATATCACCATTTTTCTTATTTCTAATGCACTTAAAATGTTTCATTTGTCTTTAGCTCTTACAACCACAGATTCCTCCTATTAACTTCCCTTATCAATTTTTGATATTGTAACTTGTAATTTCTATCCACTCTAATTTCTATAATTTCTCTTTGTTTTTCATTTTATTTCTGACTGCCACCTTTGAGCTTTAAAGGGAAAGTTACTGCCTTCTGTGATTGCAAAATCATAGTGTTTTGGACATTTAATAGAGACTTTAAGAGAGTCCCTCTCTTGGTGTTCTCACTAAATATATATATATATATATATATATATATATATATATATTCTCACTAAATATATATATATCTACACTTTTATATATATATATATACATATACATACATATATATACATATATATATATATACACATATATATATATATATATATTTGCCTTGCCAGTTCCCCTCACTGTTCTTCTCAGCTTGAGGAAATTAGCTCTTCTGAAGCAGCAGAAATACACAGTTTTGATTGGGGTTGTCCTTCACTTACCCACGGTGAATGTAATCAGGCCAAGATCACTTGTTCCCAGGCAACTAGTAACTTTTAATTTAGTGATATCTACCATTTCTATCTATCACCATGAGGTTCAAGTACTTATCTCTTGCAACGTAGGATATCCATAGGGCTACAAAATTACCTTCTGTAACTTGTAGAAGTTATTAATGACTTGGTACAGGCTGCAGTTGAATCTAGACAAGGGCTACATTTGTTTTCTCACAAAGAAGGAAAACAAGGATACTACGAGTGAATAAATGTTTAATTCACGCCTGAATATTTCAGTAGCTTCCAAAAATCTTTGCCAAACTTGAACTGGGCCTGAATTTTAATGAAAAATGGGCTTTGGGGGGCTCTGTTAGTTAATTTTTTGACATTTTCAGACCTTCTTGTGACTACAGCTGCTAACACCTTCTGTCAAAAAGTTTTTTTGAATATATTATATATGATGGTAGTAGTTATCAGGAACTAAAGGGATTAGAATTAGAAATGCGTGTATAGCATTGAATAGGGTTCATGCCCTGGCATAAACTGGAATAATGAGGTCAGCCACAATTCACACGGAGGCCTGAAAATAGCTTGTGATGGCTGTGGATGCCACGCCAGGGCTTTGATTAGCCACGGTGCGTAAGCACAATTGTGCAGGCTTGGCAGCAAAGCCAGCTTCCCTGTGCCAGCACCACTGCTCACCCACCCGGAGGGTTTCTCCTCTGGGGGCCAGGCTCTCAGAAAGGAATTGAGGCACCAGCAGCAGCAATCTCCTTCCTTCAGGAGGAAGGACGGCTCGTGGATGTTCAAAACTCCTCCATCCTACCTATTGCAGCTTCTCCAGTGCAAGCTGGCATTGAGGAGTCAGCCAGGGGCTGAGAGTGATATTAATATGTTTTAATTGTGTTGTAACTCTTCAAATTTGATTCAAGCATTTCTCATGTTGACTGAAGTAGTAGAGGTGGATGCGGGTGCTTCAGCAGAGCTTTTTTACCTCAGTCAGAAAGGTCAAACCAACCGAAACTAACTTGGGTCCCCTGACACCCCCAAACCACCCATTCTCATTTTACAAAAACCCCAAAATAACACACCGCACAGCCCCACTGGGCGCCGGGGGTGGCTTCAGGCTGAGGCACAGGCGGCTCCGTGCCACCGCTCCCCTTCCCGGCCCCAAACCGGGGAGCTCGGCACCGCTCCCCTGAGGGCCGCAGCCGCCCCCGGGGGCCGTTGCCCCGCCGCCATCTCCTGCCACCCCCCCTCAGAGAAGGCGGCGGCTGGCGGCGGGCCAGCGGCGCTGCGGGTATTAATAGGGGAGCCCCGGGGCCAAGCTCCGGTCCCGGCTGCAGCGAGGAGCAGGAGGGCTCGGCACGGAGGGAGGCTGGAGGAGATGGAGGGTAAACGCCGCGGGGCCGCAGCCGCCCTTCTGTCCCCCTCTCCCCTTCTCCTTTTCGCTTCGGTGGGGCTGGGGGCGAGCCGGGCTCTCGCTGCGAGGTGCCAGGGGGTCGGGGCTTCGTGCACGGCTCCCGAGGGGCCGGGAGCTCCCCCGGGGGTGCGTGGGGAAGGGCAGCCGGGCTGCCCGCCCGCTGCATCGCTCCCTCGAGCCTCCCCTCGCTGAGGTGCTGCAGAGACTCGTCCAAACGCTTTAGGAAGGTGTAATGCTTGCAAAGATTGTGTTACAGTGTTTTTGTTGAAATAAATTATCTTTAAAGACTCGTGCTTTTTTTTTTTTTTTATATATATATATTTTTTTTTAATTTACATTTTTTTAGGCGCCAGAATAAAACAGGCATGGCGCTACGGTGATTCGCTTCGGAGCAAGCGGTCTCAGGAAGGGAGAAGTTAATCCCCTTTTAGAAATGTATTAGCAAGTTAAATTGCTTACCTGCGTTAGCAGGGAGATCTGACATTATTATGTAACGAAAAATAAAAGTTGGCCTGTGTGTTAGTGGAAGTTGGGAATGTGAAAGACCTATGGCCAGCTCAATAATGAGATTTCTGGAGACGCTGGGAAAATAAGTGGCTAAACTATGGTACACCTCAGCTTCAGATATAACATTTGCAAGGTTAAAATGAGGAATTCCTTGGTAGCATAGAAACTTGTTGCTAAGCCAGAAAACAGTACAAGTGTTTGCAGGTGGCTGTGTCCTCTCCTGCAAGATTGATGCTCTTAAGATCTTGTCCATCTATCGCAAATTGGGAATCTCTTATGGAAATGGTTGAGAAGGCTTGGGATCTGCTATGTTTCTTTTAGTTTTATGCTAAGCATGGATGAGACTTTAAAAGAACAACAACAAAAAAAAATTAGCTGCCAAGTTGAAATAGTCTCCTAGTGTAATTCCCAAAAGTTTAGTGTCTTGCATTTATGGGAGACGTAAATCACCAGAACTCTATTGGTGGAAAATCTCCAAATAAATTAATGTATTTGAAAGAAAGCTCCAGAAACTTAGTATTTAAGAGTGATAACTTTCCCTTTTGCTTAATTTGCTGTAAGTGAATGAGCTTTGTAAGCATTGTATGACAATTTCTTAAGCAGTAAGGTATGTGCTAGAGTGCACAGTAATGTAAGCCTGTACTGTGCACGTAGCAGTAGTGGTGCTGTGTGAATGGCAGAAGCTCCAAAAGTGCCTTCCAGGACCATTCATATTAATATCCTCTGACACAACGCCAAAGATAAGCTTCTGGTGGTCACAGAGATCCCAGTATGCCTTTCCATTCAGTAACAGTGCAAATATTGCCCAAAGTAAGCTACCAAAAATCTTAATTTCCTTCCAAAACAAACTGCTTATGTTGGTAAACTGAGTGTAGCGATAATCAAATCCCCTCCCTTACTGCAGGTTCTTCACTCTTTTATTACCTTCCTCATCAGTAGTACCTGTAAGTGCAGCATGCTCCCCCTAATCAGAAATGCTTTATTCTCCCTGTCCTCTCTTCCCTTTGCCTTGGTGACTTGCTGTGTTTTGTGCCAGGCTCTGTCTGGTGAATAAAACCCATGTGGGTGGGGTGGTGAAGGAAGTTGCGTTGGTCTGTGGCCATTGCTGAGGATGTTGTCTGTAGCCTCGCTCCTGAACTCAGGTGATTTTGGAAAAGGTCTTGCTCCTGTTATCCTGAGCTGTTGGAGAAGGGAAGATCTTTGGTATTTGTGCTGCTAAAGTCTGTTGCTTGCTTTTTTTCTAGCAAGCATGAGCCTGCTCTTAACTACCCAGCAAGATCTGTGGTTTATGTGCAGTCGTTCTTCTTTTGGTATCAATTTATGTACTCTTAGCTGGATCTCGCTAAATCTGCACAGAAAAACATCAGGGAGAAAATGACTGAAGGGCACGTGCCTGTTGCAGCAGTAGTGTTGGGTTTGTTTTGTGTTAACTAGAGCAGCTGGCAAAGGGACACAGTTGCAGTGGAGCCATGAGACGTGGATGTGTTTTCCCTGTGCACAGAATTATCCGTGCTCTGGTTGTGAACGCAGTGGGAGTGCTCTTGGGGAGTGACATTGATTTTAACACCCTTAATGTATCTGAAATTGTGCACTTGTGAGGTTTATCTTCAATGTTGCTGATTGAGCCCAATTTCTCTCTGACATTATCAGTGCTATCCGCAAGGGCAGCCTTACTGACTGCACAGGGATGAGTAAGAGGACTCTAGGCTATGCCTTCACTAACACCAAAAACTGCAAAGCCCCTTGGTTAAGCAGGGACCAAGCTGCAGGTTCCCACTCCTAGCCAGCTGCAGAAGCAGATCCTGACTGCATGTATCCTGCAGTCATTTGGCATCAGTGTAACTTTCTAAGGCTGTTTTGTCATGGAGAAAGCCTGGAGCATTCTGTATTTGGGGAGGAGAAAAAAACACAAAACAAAACAACCATGAGATGTTCCCTTGTGGGGCATAAAGGCTGAGTCTATTAAGCAGAGTCTCAAGTTGTAACTAGTTCATCAAGTACAGCAAATAGAGTCAGAGCTGGAAACCACAAGAGGAAGGGAGCAGACAGCGTTTGTGCAATATGCTGCCTTTTAACTTCTGAATTGCTGGCTTCTCAGTGTGTGTATATGGCATGTTTGGGGTGTTACGGTGATTTGAGTCTGCCAGCAGAATAGGGAGATGCGTCAGCAAACAGTTATTTCATGTAAGACGTTGCCATCTCAAGCAGGTGTAATGTGAAGCGTGGTAGAACACTAGGGTGACTTTAAGGCTCGGGTAATGTGACACTAGGGGTAGTATTTTAGTCAGAGCAGAGGGATAGGGTCTCTCCTGGCCCTGGAGATCTGCTCTGGTAAAAAAAAGAAAAAGATACTAGGATCTTTGTGAATGTCACTTTTTGAGACGAAGGGAAACATAAATTTGCAAGAAATAAAGTTAGTATCAATTAAAGTAATTCTGCATGAGTAAAATTAGTAAGAATGTTATTGGCAGTTAATGTTTAGCAAAGAAGCTCAATTTGATATTTGAGAAGTTCCAAAAATAATGTTTCTTTCATCATTAAGGCATCTTTTAATTGTGATTATTTTCATTTGTATAAATAACTTCTTAATGCATTGGAGGAATCTTATTCATACTGATTCAGCTATTATTGCCTATTAGACAGCTTAGATTTCATGTGCCTGATTTCATTTCCCTGGCCTTAATTGTATCAAGCTGCCTGCTTCTGTTACGGCCATTTGTATTTCCATAAGCATTTAGCACATGTGCAAATGTGAGAAATGGACACACTGGAAATACATCCCTTTGTATTTGTCTGTTTTCTCTCTTCTTTTTTTTTTTTTTCTTTTTTCTTCCCCACATGGTCAGATTCAGGCTAGGCAGTCCTGATATTCATCCCAGATGAGTACAGAAACTACCTCTTTAGGCTTAGCAAAACTCAAGAGCTAATTTTCTTCCATTCCTTTTCACTTTGTCTTCTCAAAACCTGTAGAGGTTGCTGGAGGTAATTGTTTGTAAAGCATTGATGGCTTAAGGAGACCCACCGGGACATGGCTAAATTGAGGCCATTCCCCTTTTTATTTTTTTCTCTTCCCTCTGTGCATACAAGTCATCTTATTTTATTGGGCTTATACACAGGCAATGAGGGAATAATAAATTTAAAAGGTAAGTGGTGGTTTTGTGACATGTCAGTGGAGGTTCTTTCTGTTGATGGTTATTGTTGAAAAACATAGGATTAGTCAAAGGATGTTTAGTAGTGTTTTTCACCTGACTCAAATGTATCTATGTCCATCTCTTTTGCTGTTTCTTTTATATATGTGGTCTTGATTTTACCTAATGAAGAGCTTGTTGAGCGTTGGCAAATAGAGGTGTCTTTAAAGAATAAGTCACCGGACCAGAGTTTTTTTTTCTTTTTTTCTTTTCAGTGCCACAAATATGATGAGGAAAGCAGTTTTTAGAGACCAAGCTTTTTTGTCAGGGAAGTAGCAACAATTCTAGTTGGTTAAATCTAGATCATTTGGAATAATTTTTAGCTCTAAGGCTTGGATGCCTCAGCCCTTTGTCACATCTCACCTTATGCAAGCTGAAAAGCCTCATAAATATGATCTTATCCATTGGCAGATGTCAGGGTTTCAACAAGAAAAGTTGTCTCGAGGTTCTTGGCATTGCTCTCCTAGTTACACTGCAAGACAGCTTGTGTCTATTGAGCTTCTTATACTTATTTTTCTCAAGCAGACCCAAAGTGGAGGGACAAGACATCCTGTGACAGCAGAACTGCCAGAGGTTTGACTCAGTAGTAACCTAGGCTGTAGTCAATGCTGAACTGGCCTCACAACACGTGTGGCGAAAACTACTTTCATCTTTGCACAAGATGCACTCATATCAGTTTTAGAAAATCTAAAACTGCCAACAAACTGTTGTGAAACACTTGACCACAAATGATAACGGGCACAGCATATAACCAGGCTGGGGCAGCTGGCTTGCAGAGGTGGTGATCTCCCCTTCGCTGGGGATGCCAGCTAAGGAAACTTCCCTGGCACTGAGTGGCTCTCTGGACCTTGGAAGGTAAGCCAAGGATAAAATTAGCATTAGCATGGAATAGTGATTAATCTTCGCAGATTAGTAACTACTGTGTGATGCCTGTTGCTAAACAATTAAACTGACACCTTAATAGATTTCTCTAATAAAGTTGCTGTGCTGAACCGACCTGACTGGTGTAAGTTGTTACCCAGAACGATCTCAGCACATGATCACAACATGTACTCTATCATTTGGGGACTACTGAGCCCACTTTGATGCCAATATATCATGTTAAAAAGCTCTGACACTTGTCTGAAAGTCAGAAATCACTATTGTGCTGTCGCTGTATGTTTTTCTTCTGTACTGCATTTGCCTTTAGGGAATTGTCAGCGTATACAATGGAAAGTTAAAGAGAAAGTAAAGATTATCACCAACTTGCATAAGTAGGACCAATGGGTCTGTGACC